CGACACCAGTCATAGTCGACGAAGCACCACCAACACCCGCGAAACAGCTGAATCCGACTCAACGTGAAGTCCACCGAAGCGCCAACCTCGTCGCCAGCTTTTACTCCAACTCCGACGCATATCAGCGTTCACCTGGACACCGTGCCTCTGAAGAGATCTGGCACGCACGAACAGGACATCCAAGTAACACGGTTTTGAATAACACGATAAGAGCAGGAGTCCTTGACAAAGATTCTCTACTTCTACCCGATGGCAGAGAACTCCAGAAGGCACGAGGGACTTGCCTTATATGTCCCGAAGCTGACTTACCTCATCGACCGTTTGCTTCACATCACAACCCGAGCGCTCCAGCGTACGCACCACTCGAAAAAGTCTACAGCGACATCCTCTACAATCGCGAGCCAGGACAAGTCAACTACAACTACACCATCACCTTCATCGACGCCGCCACTCGATACGTCTGGCATCGCAACCTACCCAGCCGCGACATGGCGCTCGCAGCATTCGCCGCCTGGCTACCGATAGCAGAGAGAGAGTCTGGAACACAACTGAAAAAAATTCCAGTCAGACGGAGGTGGCGAGTACACCTCTCACCGCTTCAAGCAGTTCTTGGCGGAAAGGGGGATCAAGCAACTCCTCTCCCTTCCTTACGCACATCAGCAGCAAGGTGTTGCAGAACGACTGAACAGGACCCTGCAGAACAGCATGCGCAAACTATTACGTGGCATGCGGCTACCCAACCACCAGTGGCCAGCAGCAATGGACCACGCTGTCATGCTACACAACTTGTTGTCGTCGTCGTCACTCCCGAACAACGCATCACCGCATCTGCTGTGGACAGGGAAGCAGGGCAGCACGAAAATGTTACGAGTTTTCGGGTGCATGGTACAGTACAGACCCCCAGAAGCACGAGCGGGAAGATTTTCGCAACGGGCACAGTGGGGACTACACCTCGGCACCGAGAAAAATTACAACGCATGGAAAATCTTCGACGTCCACACAAAGGAAACAGTAGCAGCACGTGACGTGATCTTCTACGAAAGACTCACCCTTCAGACGTACCTCGCCAACTTGCACGAGAATCGGGACCTCACCAGTGGTTTTCGTGGTGACCGAGCCTTCGCGTCAGCAGCGGACGAAGCAGACTGGGATGAACAGAACGTCGACAACGCCTCAGAAGAAGCCGGACCTCTCCCATACTGCTCCGTCGACGTGCCCATGGATGAGGATAATCCTCGCGACAGTAACAACGCCGAAATCTTCTACCGTTTCGCCGACGATGGTTACGTAACACCTGTGACAGTCAACACCAACGAAGCAGAAAGGGTAGGGCCAAATTTCATGCCCGACCCAGAAACGGGAGACGAAGCAGCTTATCCCGAGGATCCAGAACTCCCTCGATACTCACAGACTGGGCTGCAAATCCTCGGCCTCGTCACCGCAGTCCACGGGAACACACGCAGCTCGCTTCCTAAGGAGCCTGCAACGGTTCAGCAGGCTCTGGGGGGGGAACACAGGGAGAAATGGCGTGAAGCCATGGATAGAGAACTGAAGGCATTAGAGGAACGCAACACTTGGAAGGTTGTTCCCGTAAGCGTGGCACGGAACAAAACCATCCTTACCGGGAAATGGGTCTTCCGCATCAAGACGAAAGCAGACGGCACGATCGAAAAATTCAAAGCACGCTGGGTCGTACGTGGATTCGACCAAGAGCAAGGACGAGACTTCACCGAGACCTTTGCTCCAGTCAGCCGCCACACGTCACTCCGAATTCTCCTCGCCATTGCCGCCATGAAGAAGAAGAAGTTACGGCAGATCGACGTCGCGAATGCCTTCCTCTACGCACCTGTGGATGCAGAAATCTACGTCGAGCTCCCGCACGGTTCCCACGGCGAACCCAACCGAATCTGTCAACTACTTAAGTCGCTCTACGGGATCAAGCAGGCACCGCGACTGTGGCAGCAGTACCTGCACGCCCGTCTCATCCGCATCGGCTTTAGTCAACTACCTCACGACCAAGGCATGTACCGCCTCACTAAGGGAAGCGACTACGTTCTCCTGATCGTCTACGTGGACGATCTCCTCTACATTGGGTCAACCGACGGCATCGCCACGTGGTTCGAAGGAGAGCTCCAGAAAGACCTCACGCTCACGGTCTCCTCCACCGTTACACAGTACCTCGGGCTCAACATCCGCGAAGAAGAAAACGCCATCTATCTAAGCGCCGAGAAATACGCCGACACCATCGCGAAACGTTTCAGCCTCACACCAAGCGCCATCTCCACGCCCTACCGCTACACATCAGGAACCGAGAAGGAACGAACTACTCTACTCAAGCCCGCCGGCATACGCGACTATCAGAAGAAGCTCGGATGCCTGCTATTCGCCGCCGTCACCTGCCGTCCTGACTTATCCTACTCCGCAAGTCAGCTCGCCACCTATCTCAAGAAGCCTGAAGCTGAACACCTGGCGGAACTTGATCGCGCTCTCCACTACTTCGTCAGCACCGCGACGATCAGGCTAACCTACCACAAGAGCGCAGCTACACCGACTAAGCTAATCGGCTACGTCGACGCCGATCACGCCGGCGACACCGACAACAGGCGCTCACGCACCGGCTATGTCTACCGCCTTGAGCCTATCGGTCCTATCTCCTGGCAGTCGAGCAAGCAGGAGTTAATCGCACTATCTTCAGCAGAAGTAGAATATATTGCACTCTGCTCAGCCACCAAGGAGGGACTTTACCTTCGCGAACTACTGGAAGAAGCGAAGCTAGCCGAGTTACCCAGCTTCACCGTGTTCTGCGACAACCAGTCAGCAATTCGCATCGCCAACAAAAACGGCTTCGCAAACAGGACGAAACACATCGCCCTGCGCTATTTCTTCGTGAAGGACGAGATAGAAAAAGGGAAACTCGATCTGTCATACTGTCCAACATCCGAGATGGCAGCCGATTACTTGACCAAGAAACTCGGCAAGCAGAAGTTCGAATACTGCATGATGCTGACTGGACAAGGCCACGGCACCAGCAGTAACACTCCAGAAGCGAAGGGGAGTGTTGGAAACAATAAGTCCTAAGTGCGCTTCTGTCGTATCAAAATCCAAGGTACCAAGCGAAGCAGTCCCAATCGAAGCATCGAGTCAACCTCGGAGGTTAGGGTAACCGCCTGGAGGTTACGAGAAAGTCAAAGGTCGCTGACCTTTGACTCGACAATTACAGCGCGACAGTTAAGGACACACAACTGACTCGTTACAGAGCAGTTGCCCGAGTCGCGCTATATCGAACCGCAACAGCAATACAGTTATCTATTCCCTGTACTCTTATATAAATCCTTGTATTTGCTTGTTTAATTCAATCAACTTTGCTCTCACACACCAGTGCAAGGTCGGTTCAAATTCTTCACTAAACGCTTCCGCTATTACAACTACTTCACCTAGAGTTATCCCTTGCAAAGATCCTAAGGGGCTATCTCAGCCCAACAGTTATAACTGTGTCTCTTCATATTCTCTGTATTCATATATAATCTTGTATCTCTTTGCTTTAATCAATTCACTTTGCCCTCACATACTAGCGCAAGGTGGTTCACAAACTATTAAGACGCTTCCGCTACTACATCAACTCTACCCAGAATTCACCTCTGCAAAGATCCTAAGGGCTTTTTCAGCCCAACAGCGGAAAAGCGACTCGCAATTGGGACACACTACAGTTTATGCTGTTTTTGTAGCGATTGAGACATTTGTATCCCCACAGGAATGCACCCTAATGCAAGGACGAAACGGTTGGCTGATAAGGAAAAAAAATCGTCAAAAGCCACCCAGCGCCGCTGCGGTGGTAGATCGCCGCGTTATTCTGGAGAGGGTATGACTTTTGTAATCTTCTCAAGGGCGTTACAAGCAGGACCCTTATCGTGTACGAAGATTTCTGGCCCTAAGTATGGCCAAACTTACCATACATGTTCATGAACAATAGTTTTTAGATTCACATCACACACTTGCATAAGTATTGTGCATGATACTACAGTACTGAAGTGAAGACACGAGTAATGGTTGTTCATGTTACGGTAAGGATAATATAACATTAACATTCATGAAGTAGAGATTCATAAACATGACTCTAGATAACATGTACTGTTCACATGGGTGCAAGGCTGGCTAGGCACGACGAACCAGACCCTCTACAGTGGCATAAACTGCAGTGCAGCGATGTGTTTACTGCGCAAATTGGCACAGAAGAAACTGTAGAGATGCACTAGATGCCATGCACCAACCACAACGGATGCAAACTCACACAGGTGCAAGCTCACATGGGTGTAAGGCCCTGATCACGAGCCGTACCCTCTACAACCCGCATTCACTGTACCGTAGCAGACATGTTTGCTGCGCACTTACTGTCCAATGTCTGTAGACGTTACATTTACTGCTCACATGGGTGCAAGCCCCTGGGCACGAGCCGTACCCTCTACAACGGCATTCACTGTAGCAACGTGCTTACTGCGCACTTCCGCGCAGCAGATACTGTTCATGTTGTCGAGCCACACATGCAGGCTCGGGCGCTGCCACTCCGAACCTCGGCCCTGCCTGGATCGGATGTACTGCTTGGTGGTGCAGTCTGGGAGGCAGGGGATGGATGGTGGGTGGATGGGGGAGGAAGGAGGGAGAAGAGAGGGGGATAGGCGAGTAGCTAGGGAGGGAAGGGAGGTATAGGAGCCCTGCCTGGATCGAACGTACTGCTTGGTGGTGCAGTCTGGAAGGTGGAGGGGGGGTGGAAACAGGGCGGGGAGTGAGGGAGGTAGGTGCAGAGTTGAGGAGGAAAGGAAAGGAAGAGGAGCCCTTGCCTGTATAGGAGTCTCGAGGCGAGGAGGAATAGAAGGGGATAGAAGGGGATAGAAGGTGCTTATGGCAGAGCAGGAAGAGGAGGAGAGCACAGCACACGTACAAAATCCTACGCGAATTAGCTAGTTTTTTCTATAACAACTGTATTTCCTTTGCTAAGCTTTCTCCTACGCTGCTGCTTGCTGGAACATGTCTCAAGATATGCGAGCAGGAGAAAGAGGAGGAAAGGAGAGCACACATACCACAGAGCAGAATGGTGCCGTGCATGACGAGAAAGAAGAAGAGGAGTGATGTGTAGAAGTAGGCGAGGGGGATAGAGCAGGAGAGGAGGAGGGGAGCAGGGCGAGGAGGGGAGCAGGGCGAGGAGGGAAGCACACATACCGCATAGAAGAATCGCGCCGTGCATGATGGCAAAGAAGAAGAGCAGTGAGGTGTAGAAGTAGGCGAGGGATGTGGAATGGAGAGTAAGGGAAGGGGGAGGAGAGCACACGTACCGCAGAGAAGGATGGTGCCGTGCATGACAGCAAAGAAGAAGAGCAGCGAGGTGTAGAAGTAGGCAAGGGCGAGCAGCATGAGGAAGAAGACATAGACCTCCTGCTCGCTCAGACCCCTGGGATAAGTGGGAGAAGTGGGGCGGTGGGGAACACAAACACAGGAAGAGGAGGGGGCATGGCGACAGGGGGAGTGGGGAGGTGGGATGAGGGCGACCAGCATGAGTAAGAAGACATACACCTCCTGCTCGCTCAGACCCCTAGGGAGAGGTGGGGGGATGGGGAACACGAACACAGGAAAAGGAGGGGATACGGGGGCAGGGGAGTGGGGGAGGGGAGAAGTAGGCGAGGGCGAGCAGCATGAGGAAGAACACGTACACCTCCTGCTCGCTTAGACCCCTGGGGAGGGGGAGGTGGGATGTGGGGGAGGTGGGATGTGGGGGAGGTGGGGAACACAAGCAGTAGAAGAGGAGGAACGAGGGCGAGCAGCATGGGGAAGAACACGTACACCTCCTGGTCGCTTAGACCCCTGAGAAATAACGTGTGGTGTGGTGGAGGTGGGCAAAAGTGGGGAAAGATGGAGAAAGATGGAAAACGGTGGGGAAAGGTTGGGAAAGGTGGGAAAAGGTGGAAGCACCCAACCTCAAACCTGGGTCGAATGCAGAATGCCTAATAGTTTCACACTCACGTATAGCATAAAACGGCGATATTTTCACACTCAAATACGGAATCACACTCCCATATACTTTCACACACTCCCATATCATCACAGTATCACAAACGCCTCACTCACTTATCCCAGTCCTCCTCCTTGAGTCGCATAGAGTTTTGAAACTTGTCAGCTGTCGCACTGATCCGATCAAACACCCTTATAAAACTACACAAGTATCACCATCACACTCACTTATCACCATCACACTCACTTATCCCAGTCCTCCTCCTTGAGTCGCAGGACAGTCGCATACAGCAGAAGACCCGACGCCTGTTGTTGGGGGGAAAAACGGAGGGACGAGAGGAGGGAGAGGAGAGGATGGAGGGGATGAAGAGGATTGAGAGGATTGAGAGGATTGAGAGGATTGAGAGGATTGAGAGGATTGAGAGGATTGAGAGGAATGAGAGGATTGAGAGGATTGAGAGGATTGAGAGGATTGAGAGGATTGAGAGGATTGAGAGGATTGAGAGGATTGAGAGGATTGAGAGGAATGGCAAGGAGAAATACATAGAACAATCGCATAGAGCAGCAGACCGGACGCCTGGACTAGGAAAAACACGAGGGGAGAAGAAGAGGAGGGAGGCACAGAGGGACGAGAATCGAGAGAGGAGAACGAAGACCAAGAAAAATGGCCACGAGCGAGCAATGGAGCATACAGCAGCGGAGAGACGCTGTTGTTGAGAGAAGCACAAGAGGACACGAGAGAGAGGAGGAAGAGGAGGGGAGGGAGAGGAGGGGAGGGAGGAGAGGGGACGGAGAGGTGGAAGGAAGAGTTAAGCATTTTTTGGCTCTGAAAGCTGAACACATCGAGCAGCAGGCCTGAGGACTTTAGGGTGTTACGAGGAGCGGGGAGGCGGGAGCGGCAGCACACGTGGTGGGTTGGAAGTTGGAGCAAACAAGGCTTGTAATCAATTAAGTGCATTACCCTACCAGCATACCCCGATCCCTACCCTACCAGCATACCACGATCCCTACCCTACCAGCATACCACGATCCCTACCCTACCAGCATACCACGATCCCTACCCTACCAGCATACCACGATCCCTACCCTACCAGCATACCACGATCCCTACCCTACCAGCATACCACGATCCCTACCCTACCAGCATACCCCAATCCCTGCCCTACCAGCATACCACGATCCCTACCCTACCAGCATACCACGATCCCTACCCTACCAGCATACCACGATCCCTACCCTACCAGCATATACCAATCCCTGCCCTACCAGCATACCCCAATCCCTGCCCTATCAGCGAGGCGGAGAACAGAAACCCGGTGAAGGAGCGGTGTTTCTTGCGAGCCACACACATGGTGGGATAGGGCGAGTGTGCCAGCAGCATACGTGAGTGTGAGACCTAGCGTGAGTATCTATATCAGAAAGGTGCCCATACTACCATAACCCCCGGCCTACCAGCGACGCGGAGAAGAGAAAGCCAGTGAAGAAGCGGTGGTTCTTGCGCGTCACATACGTGAGGAAAGTGCAAGTGCAGCAGCACTTACCAAGGCGGCAGAGAGGTGCCATACCATACCACAAACCCTCCCTTACCAGCGACGCGGAGAAGAGAAAGCCAGTGAAGAAGCGGTGGTTCTTGCAGTTGAGGTGCGTGGATTGTATGTGTGCAGCAGCAGGCGTGCGTGTGTGACCTAGGTGTCTCACCATACCACCATCCCTCCCTTACCAGTGAGGCGGAGAAGAGGAAAGCAGTGAAGAAGCGGTGGTTCTTGCGCGCCACACACGTGCCCACTGCGCCGCAGTGGTGGTCGAACCGCTGCCAACCATGGGAGAGGGGGGGCGGGGGGTGTTGGGTTCGGGGGATGGGGGAAAGGTGGGGAAAAGTGGGAGGAGAGGGATTAGGCGAGTGATGAAGCGGTGGTTCTTCAGCGGGAAGGCGCTACAGCCGAGCTATATGAATGCAACAGTACCGCAACAACACATACCTCCATACAGAAGCCGCATCGCGAGCAGTGGCTGGTGCGCGGCTGGCGCCAAACATTGCACGGTCTGCAGTAGTGCTGGGTGATCTCCGACCGCCCGTCCAGCAGCAGGAGAGATCAGCCAATGCTACAGCCAGACAACAGCACCCACCTCCATACAAAAGCCACATCGGGAACAGTGACTAGTGCGCGGCTGGCGCCAAACATTGCACGTGCTGCAGTAGCGCTGGGTGATCTCCGACCGCCCGTCCAGCAGCAGGCGGCGGCGCGCCCACTGGCCGTGAGAATCGATGACCAGATCAGGGGAGATTTGCCCCCTCTCTGCTGCTACTACTTCCGGGTCTGGAGGTTGGGGAGCAGGAAGGAAGGGGGAATGGGGGTAAGGAAGAGAGGCAGCGGCCGTCCAGCAGCAGGCGGCGGCGCGCCCACTGGTCGTGCGAGTCGATGACTAGGTCTGGCGAAATCTGCCCCCTCTCTGCTGCCACCACCTCGGGGTCTGGAGGGAATAGAGCAGAAAGGCAGAGAGAAGGGAGGGGATAAGCAGCAGGCGGCGGAGCGCCCACTGGCCGTGCGAATCTTTCACGAGATCTGGGGAGATCTGCCCCCTCTCTGCTGCTACCACCTCAGGGTCTGGGGGGAGAAGGCGGGCAGGGAGGAAAGGGAAAGGGGAGAGGGAGCAGAGCAGAAAGAGCAGGGAGGAGATAAGCAGCAGCAGATAATGGCGCGCCCACTGGCCGTGCGAGTCAATCACGAGGTCTGGGAGATCTGCCCCCTCTCTGCTGCTACCACCTCAGGGTCTGGTGCTAATCCAAGGCAGGGGGACGGAGAGTAGGGGGGGATGAGCAACAGCAGCAGCAGCAGCAGCAGGTGAAGGCGCGCCCACAGACCGTGCGAGCTGTCACCACCACCTCGGGGGGAAAGTCTTTTGAGGCGCCTCAAAAGTCGGCAGCAGGTAGAGGCGCGCCCACAGGCCGTGCGAGCTGTCACCACCACCTCGGGGGGGAAGTCTTTTGAGGCGCCTCAAAAGTCGGCAGCAGGTAGAGGCACGCCCACAGGCCGTGCGAGCTGTCACCACCACCTCAGGGGGGAAGTCGAGGAATCGAGCACAGGGTCGACATGTTGCACGAGGAAGAGGAAGAGAGGGGGTTGGGGGGAAGGGTATGAAGAGAAGTGGGAGGGGTGTGGCTTACCTTTAATCTCGGAGGGCGGGATGATCCCGGGGTCGATGTGTTGCACGAGGAAGAGGAAGAGCAACGCCAGGAACACCGCAGCACTCACTACCGCGTACAGCACCGCCTGCAGGGTCGGGCTGTCCAAACCGGGCAGGCTGGCTCGGAATGAGGCACGGCCCGGGCGGGGGGTGGAGAGCGGGGAGAGAGGAGGCGGGTTGTGCGGACGAGTAAAGTGACGGGATGCGGAATGATGAAGGGATGGAACGAGAGGGCGAGGAGGTGGAGGGGGGACCGGGAGGGTGCTTTGAACTAGAGATGTTAATAGATACGCACACACTCAAATCGGTTACGAACCTCGCTGTAACGAGGACGAGAAGTACGCACTTGCGAGCAAAGAAACGCAAATAATCATCCGATACAGAGGCCTACACAAATGGAGTCCTCATTTTTTTAACAAAGACCTACACGAAAGCGAATCCTGCTACAGCGAGCCCGATAATGACGGCGACGATGACGCGGAAACCCCAGAGGCTGTCGGACCACTTGATGCCGGGCCGCGCGTCGTACTTGGCGCTGCTGGGCCGCACCTGGTACCGCTTGCTGGGGTCCATAGCTGCACGGTGCTACTCGGTGCTATTCGGTGCTATTCGGTGCTTATCGGTCTCTGCCGCGGTGATTGAAGGTGCTAGCTCGAGGTGCTGGTGCAATGAGGGAACGCTTAACCTATGCAGGCTGATACCGAAACATCTAATAACGAGATGTGGTTCGAAGCCCAGCTGACACTAAAACGCGACTACAAGCTTCGTTGACCGTGCCACGCGACACGCTTACGCGATTATAGACACACATGCATTCAGGTGCGACGATGAAAAAGATACCGCTGCGGTGTGAGCACGCTTCAGGAGAATGAACTGACGCAAATAGAACAACCTATGGAGGTCGTTCGTGTCGCAGCGCAGACTACAGAGCAACAGTCATAGAGGTAACTTAATGTTTTCTCTGACGGACGGTTTGTGCGGGGAGGGAGGGGAAACGCCATGAAGGGTGACTCTGAATACGAGTTCCTGAACATTGGGAGATCAGGTAGTTTACACTTGGGTGGACCACAGATGGACCCCTATGTTCGAAATTGGCGACTTTCACGAGTTCCTGAGTCTGGCTGTAACAGGTGGCAAAAAAATGTTGTGGGAAAAAGGCTTGTGGCCAGGTGCCTCCCAGGTTCTTCGAAATGTTCACCCAGACTGTCTGTGATGGCAGCAAAGATTCCAACTAGGGATGTCCAGTTCCATCAGAACTATCCCCGAGACTCGGCTCTTGTCGAGTGGAATGGTAGGAGGCTTAGGTGGTGGCCAGCTCGTACATTTACTGCTCGTGAAGCCACTCAGTTACCACATTTTATGGTGTAACACTGTATTGAACGTGTCTTGTGGACACGTTCAGCTTTCGTTCACAAGACGCCACGCCCCCTGGACGTACCTCGAGTCGCCTGACTCACGTTACTGGAATCAGCGGGGACGCGAACAAGGGTACAGCACCGCGTCCTGGCCACTACAGTAACTGCCCTTGTATCGCTTGCACGATTTCGCCAGTGACTCGCTACAGTCGCCAACACCCCCTGCGCCTGCCCGAAAATTCGTTAGCTATGATTGATGAGGCAAAGTGTTACCTCGTTTCGAACGCGGTCAGAGCACTGTTGATTCGAGTGGCGGGGAACGTGTCCATACTCCTGAAATTACAGGTAGGTTGGACGTAACTCACAATGCATTCGTTTTTAGGTACAGCGATTAATTTTAACCTCGAGACGTGTGTCGGCACTAAAAAACCCGAAATGAACGAACTGGACACGACTTTAGACATGGGCGACTGGAAACGAGTAATGCTGGGAAGGGTGTAAACTTTCGTTCAGAAAACACTCAGGTACTCAGGGTAATATCAAGGCTGGATTTAAAACATTCTCTCCCAACCAGACTTCACCCGTCATCGCAGCTCATATGGATGACTTTCAGGTTTGTTCTAGGGTACTTTTCAACCCGCCACAAAAGTCCATTTGCTGTTGTTCTGCGAGAAAAGCCCCCGATTGTTCCAGCTGTTTCTGCAGGTTGACACACTTTATGCTGCTCTTTACCTAGGCCCACTCTCTCGCATAATTGACACAACAGTTCATGATATGTATTTTTAGATGGCATGCGCCACTACTCTCAATTCCACTACAACAGCTGTGCAATTCACCGTATGTGAAATTCGATCAAATAAAGAACCAACTTAGCTTATATGGAATATAAATCTTACCATTGCTGCATTTCTACCGCCCATTATTTTTTTTGAACTGGGATGTGATATCATCCCATATTCGTCGTACTGGGAGTTTATGATAACCGTTGTCTACCCACCATCCACTAAACACAGTACTGAAACCGCTTTCACAGTGGCGGCATGGGCTCTGCTTTTCATCCACATCGCCGCCACCTTTCCTCGTCATCTGACACAGCACCCGAGAAGATGACAGGAATCGGAGATGCAGCAGCATTCATACGCCAGGTGCATTTCTACGCTTCCCTTCAGGTGGCTTTTCTTATCTCTGATTGGAGGGACGCAAGAGATTGGAGATCCAGCTTTCCAGTCAGGGTCCCCTGCTGGGGTGGGGTCCTTTCTCATCACAAGGAAAATGACAACCCACAATTTTCGCATAGTTTTACACATGATGCCTGATTGAGCCCCTCCCGGTTGCCTTGTGAAGGGGGTGTAAAAGCTGTATCGTGCATTTCGCCTAAGTCTCGTCAATTCGCAGTTAGCTTAAAAGGATTCGCAGGTGCTTATATGAAGGATCTGTAACTTTATTCGATGGCAATTTGACTTCAGTCTCTTCTGTTTGACTTTGGTCAGTTCATTACTATTGGTTCATAACCCCGCGACGCGCTTGTACCGTGGGTGCAACAGGCCAGGGAAAAAACCTCGGGCGCAGCATTTCTATACGGTACAGGGCAAATTCGCGCGCATGGGGTGGGCATCAATTGTGTAGACTTCGCGCTTCGATTCGGGAGGAGACCACTCGATGTCCCACTTTCCAGCCAGCTCTGCCCGCCCGCCCAGCCTTTTCACTCGTCTCCCCAGTTCCAGCCCGGATCAGGTACAAGACTAGGGTTTACTGTACGGGTTTCCTTCCGTCTAGTACATTCCTGCACCGATAGAAATAAGATCGCGGTTCTGAAGTTCGCCCGCCATCCGAAGTAGGGACAAGTGTGACGGAAGTACACGTCTGATTGGCTTCCATGCTCCAATATATCTGGAAAATTGTATGATGACCAATGATAGAGTGTTTTTACACGTCATTGAGGGCCATTTTGAGCTGATGGCGGGCAAACTCGCCCAGAACCGGACCTAAGTAAAGATGTTACAGGCTCTCTGCATCAGTTTCATGAGCACAGAAAACGATTCCAGCATGAGGCGAGCTCGGCCTCGCACTTAATAGCTTTTGCTGGTCTGGGGTAATTCGAACAAGAAAATAGCAGCCTGTCTGATCAGATGTGAAAAATCCCTGCCCAGGAACGAACAAATGCACGTTCATCTCCTTACCTCCCCCAAACCAGACACACCATTAACCCGAACCTAGCCCGAACCGAAATCCTTGGCTCAGGAGAAATGCAGCTGCTGTTTACCAACCGAACTCCACCTGAAGCAGTGACTGCTCTGTTGTGTACACAAACAGCGCATCGACCTTTTCCCTCACCAGAATAAGCAGGTACTCCAAACAGACCCTTTTCCGCGTATCGTGTCGTATGGGCAAATAACCTGCGCAACTTGACCTACAGAGCAGAATCTACAGTGCGATTGAGAAGGATTTGCTGCATTCGGATACAAAACCCGACAACCACGTAGCTGACCTGCAGAGGTAGAACCAACTCGGAACAGGCCCTGAGTTTACTACTAGTTGGTGATTTTTCTCGTCGCGCGACACATGGTGGACCCAACTCCAACCATCCTTTTCCCACCACTGTGTTTCGTGAATCGTGACCCTTGGGCATAATTTGAATCCCTCCATCCACCCGACGGGCACATTATCCTGGCGTGTCTCGCAGCAGCTTACCCCTCTGGTTGACAGGAAATGGCGTGAATATGCGTGCCTGAAGCCTGTTACAAAATGGAGCTGAGGTTGCCGATGGCGCCTCAACATCACAACTACCGTGACAGACGTTACGCGGACGCTCGAATGGGATCGCACTTTCCCCGCCTTCTCCTCCTCCCCCTCATCCTCACCTCCCTTCTCCTCCCAGTCGCCTTCCTTACCGCCCCAGCAGCAGCGCAATCCACGCCGTATTCCACGCTGGGCGTCCCCGTCGGGATTATCGCCGGCGGGGTGCACAACACCCTGACGGGCGACATCAAGAACGTCGCATGGCAGGTGAACCTTCGCACGCGACGCGAGATCGGAACGGTCGGTGCGGCGGATAGCGACCCGGACGCGTGGCGAGTGGACTGTAGCGTCGCCACGGACGGCACTGCTTATGTCACTTCCACCACCTCGCGTCTCAACGTTGTGCGCTACACGACAGACGGGGCAGTATCGCAGCCGCCCGTGAATCTTCCCGCCGGATTCACGAGCACGACAACGGTGCTCGGAGGACCTTCCGAGAACCTTCTCGTGGTGGCAGATGGGGGGGAGTCGGCAGGAGGGGCTGTCTCGGTGGATAGGACTCAGAAGACGGTTACGAAACTGGTGGGATCGGGTTACCAGTGCACGTCGGCGACATTCTGCTCTTCGCCAGCGGCTTTGCCGACCGATTTCCTCGTCCTGACTTGCCACGTCACCGCGGATGATTCTGACGTGGTTGTTACCGTTCCCATCGACCCTGCCACGGGTGCATTCCAAACCGACGCCTCGTCGATTAAATACGTCTCATCTTCATTTGCGATTCGGCAAGCGGCGTGTTCTCCGGGAGGCGGCTTCATAGCCCTTCTCAGATTCGATTCAAATATTCTCTACACCTACGCGCTTCCGTTGGCTGGAACCGCTCTTTCCGCGTCGCCGCTCTCCTCGACCACTCTTACCGCGGGCACCTCCTCGACGTTAGTGATCGACTCCACTTATAAGAACGTCCTCGTTACAAGCACGTCTTCGTACAAGACGGGCGGCAACGGGCAGAGCTACCTCGGCACGCTTGACACCGTGCCTTATACCGAAACCGGCGGGTGCGCTACTACCGCGTCTGCCGGCGCGTTTCAATTCTTAACCGCCGGAACCTACGCGCGCTTGGCGCTATACCCCGGAAGCTCTTTAGATGCTCCTGTCGCACTAATGGCTATTTGGGAGGGAGTTTATTCCTTGAAGCTTGCAGCAGACGGTGCGGTTCAGACCGATACAGCTGGGTTTATCAATCTCGGTACCGCCGAGTCGGGTAATGATTTCTTCGCTACAGCCGTATGCGTGCAGAAGTTTGTAGCGTCCCCCTCCCCTCCGCCGCCTCCGCCGCCCTCGCCGCCTTCCCCTCCGCCCAGTCCCCCGCCGCCGCCGTCTCCGCCTAAGCCACCTTCCCCGCCCAAGCCGCCCTCACCCCCGAGGCCTCCCCCAAGTCCCCCAAAGCCGCCGTCGCCTCCGCCGCCGTCTCCCCCTTCC